GGGAGCCGCGCGCGGCCCCTGCTGCCCCGTCGCGCGGCCCTGCTGCCCCGTCGCGCTGCCCAGGGGAGCCGTGCGCGGCCCCTGCTGCCCCGTCCCGGACCTGCCCCGGCCCCGACCTGCCCCGGCCCAACTCCCGTCGCCTGTCGAGGCGACCCTTGGGGGGGGCCGCGCGTTGCCCCCCCCCCCCCTACCTCCCTACCCTGTTTTTAGGGTTTGGGGGGTGGCGGTTGGGGGGTGGCGGTTGGGGGGTGGCGGTTGGGGGGTGGCGGGTGTGTGGCGTCGCTTGCTCCTCCTCCTCCTTCGTCTCCCACTGCTGCAGCTATCGCTGAGGGGGGTGGATGTGTGGGAGTGTACGGAGTGGTGCTAGGGGGGGTGGAGTGTGAGTAGAGCTAGGGTTTGAACAGGGGGTGTGTGAAATGGGGGTGGGACAGTTGGGGGAGGTTGAATGGAGGCGGTCGTCGTGTCGTCAGCAGCAGCAGCAGTCCGGAGGCTACAATCTCCGGTAGTCGCCAGTCGCCCGTGGGTCCGTTGCTCGTCTGCCGCTACTTTTAGCCGCGGGGCCAGTTACCCCAGTAGTCCGGAGCGCTGTTCCGGTAGCCACTGAGCCAGCAGCTCGTCTGTGTGTCTGCAGCGTCAGCATTCGCCTCCCATCTTCTCTCCCCCACAGTCTCTCCTCCTCCTCACTTGCCCTCTGTGATAGCCTCTAGCTTTACTTATATTTGTTAACTATAAAACTGCTACCTCTTGTACTTGTGCTCAGAATGTGTGGTGACATTGTGATCCACCCTGAGCTTGTTTTCTTTTGCTTGCTCTGCTGATTACACCCCACTTTGGCTATGGGGGTGTGTCAGAATATTATGCTCTAGCCTGTAGTGGGGTGCTCTATAGCGAGTACAACTCTTCTAGGGTTTTGCTATTTGTATCCCCATTCTTGCTAGTGCAATCCTCTTCTTTCTTCTAAACTTTAACAATTTGCGCCAATGTTTCTCTTCGCTTAAGGCGAGAGTCGATTCTTCAATTGGCGCAACCACGTAACAGCGTCCAATTCGAATATAATTGCGTCATTTTTCAACGGCCCCCTACTCCCGTACTGTGAGGGAACTTCCGTAATTTTAGGGAGATAATGTTTCAAAAATTTGTGCGCGTTCTTGATTGATTTTTTTCACGTGCGACAACTACCCACGAGTCACGACCGGGTTCCGTGACAGTCTAGCGCTAAAATCGTTCTGACACGACCTTCCAAATCGTGCGATGTCCACATTCTCTCCCCCCCCCCCCCCCCCCCCCCCCCCCCCGTGCACTGTTGCTGGTGGCACGTCGGTTGGGGCCCCATCCCAGGAAGGCCCTCTGAGTCGCCGTCAACAACAGCCGCCGCATAGCAGGAAACCGCCAATTTTCGGCAGGGCGGCAAACGGCCAGAAATCCGCTAAAAATGTGTGGGTGCTGTTGCGCGGTTACCATGACTTTGTGATGTATAAATACACACTGCATTAAAAAAGAAACTGTATAGTCTCTCAAACATTTCATGTCATATAATTAAAAAAACATACAACTGTACACATTTTATGATGTCTTTCATGATGTCGCAACTTATGTAAAAGACGGGTGATGCAGAAATTAACCGTCAAACTTGGCAGTATCACCGTTCCCTGCAAAAATCGATGTAAAATGCATGGTCAAGTATTGAGGGGCAATAATGTCCGAATAGCGAATAGTATCGAATAACCCGAATATTCTTGACCCGGTATTCCTATTCTACGAATACCTCTGAAGCGAATATTGACGAATACTCCGTCGTATTCTATTCTTACGAATTGCGGTATTCGAAGCGAATATCGAATAGTTACCGAATACGAATATTCTTTTACAGGCTTAGCGGGGCGGGGTGGGAATGTTGCTCCACACGTCAAGACTCTGCAGCATGTTCGTGTTTAGTGCCGTCACAGCACACTCGCTCACCTGCATGCTGCCATCCAGTAGAATGTTTTTAAGGCTAAGACAGCGATGCACGATGCCAAAGCTGTGCAGATACTCCAGCCCGCGTGCCACTCCTATTAGAATGCCCACCCACTGCTGCAGGGTCAGGTGCACACCGGCGGTGCAACCTGCGAGGAAAGGAGAAAAGAAATAATACGCTGGTAAATTGAAATGCCATGGACCAGCGTAACGGAAAAAATACATGCGATGGACGGATGCTAGGCAAGCAGACATAACAGAGTCAAACGCAGAGAGAACACGAGGAGAACAGGGGCGAGGAAGAACACGCAAGCACCTACTATATGGGAGATGGCATGGCATGGTTACTGCACTGTTGGCGACGACATGGGCACGCAAGCACTTACATTATGAGAGGTGAGCCATGCGGCATGCCTCACCATCTGGTCCAAACTTGTCGAGCAGGCTGCCAGCTGTCATGAATTCATACACCACCACCTGCACCCACCGCCCCTGCCTGTCTTGCTCATCGCAGTACCCCAGCAGGCGCAGCAGGTTGGGGTGGTTCTTGTTGCCCATCTCCGCCACCTGGGGGCAACTTGACCAGGGGCCAGCCAGGGGGGTGGGGAGCGGGTGGAAGGGGGAGGGAGAGGATAAGTCGAGCAGTGGTCCACACGTGTTCTTTCCTCCTTCGCCTGCCTTGGCTCCACGACGACCTACTTGTATGCCGCTGTCCCACTGAGGAACCTGCTTTGAGGAGAAGGATAGGCCATGGCAGCATGGCAGTACGGCAGCATCACAGGGCAGCAGGGCAGCATGGCGGCATGGCAGCATGGCAGCATGGCGGCATGGCAGTATCAGACAGACTCCCCGTGGGAAGAGGTTGAAGAGGTTGTCAACGGGAAGTGTGTGAGCGTGTGGGGTCTGTGGTTCAACCAGCAACATCCAATAGCTAATCGTCTAAACAGCCCAGATGAAGTGGCTGCAGGGTGGCAGCCCTGCATCACTTTCCTTCGCTGCTCCGTTGACTTTCACCTCTGCACCTTCCCCCTCTCCTCCCCGTCTCCTCTCTCTACTCTCCAACACCACACTCTTCCCTCCATTCCCTCACACTCCCGCCCTTCCCACCTCTGCTTGGAACTCTTCGAATTCGCGGAAGCGGCAGCGCTTGAGGAGCCACGGGGTGGCGCCGTCGCGCGGGTCCACGCCCTTGAACAGATCGCGGTAGCCGTCGTCGCCCAGGTGCATCTGCGGTGCCCAGTGGTTCGTCGCGGTTAGCATGTCCGCCAGGGAAAACCGCACACAGGCGGCATGGATGGGGGCGGCTGAGAGGAGAGGGGGAGGGAGGGGGGAGGGGGGGTGTTAGTTAGGGGGGAGCAAGTCAATTCTGGAGAGGAAGAGGGGGATGCAGCGTGGCAGAGGCTTGAGAGCAAGATACACGGAGGGGAGGAAATACAGAGGCGAGAAAGAGCGGAACGAGCTAACAGATTGCGCGCGGCGATGAGGGCGTGCGGGAGGCGGGATAGTTGTCGGAGACATTCGCGAAGCCTAGAGGCGTCGCGAAACAAGGATGGCTTGGCTAGTATCGCTGGCGTTAGCAAAGCACGAATGTAATCATAGCTCGGGTAACGATGGCTTGGATATAGTTTGGTATAAATGGCTTGCCTCTCGCTGCGTCGGCCCGCTTGGCCGCCTTGCCCGACTTGCCAAATATCTTCCGCATCGTCGTCCACGTCAGCACACCACCATTCAATGCGAGCCACGTCGGAGTAAGGGCTGCACTGGTCGTGCCACGTCAGACATACTGACCAAGTTGGGTTTCCACATCCTGAAAGCCAGCGTATGTATGCGTACTTCTACGCTTACTATGTGTGCGTGTGCGTTCGCGGTACTTCTCTACTCACTGGCGCCTACGTACCCCGAGCACGCTTTGAAGAATTCTTTTGTTTTTTATGTTCACTGGCGGCGATGCTCACATACTAAAAACGCTGCTGCCAATTTCGCGCGCGTTTGCTGAAGAACGTCGCGAGTCGTGGACTAAGATAATTTATGACCTAATTACTGTCAAAGTAACGACTGTGGCGGCAAACGTCCATGCCATCCTTGGTAGTCTCTGAATTGTACAATATCGTATTCAACCCCTTGTGAAATGGCAATACCACGACCAACCACTGCGCATTCCTGAGATTCGCATGTGCTTGTTTGTGAGGCTGGCTTGAAGGTTGCACGATTCACAAAACCCCCCGTCCTACGTACCCACAATGGATATTTTACTCTCACGCTGTCTACACTCTCAACCCTCCGCGGCACGGTTCCACCACACCACAGCGCGCTCCGATAACGGAAGCCGTGCAGCGCCCCGACCATGGCGCTGCACATGCCGTCGCACGCCCTCACAACGCGCCTCTCGCGATTCACGGAGGCGCGTTTGTTCGGTCTAGTACCAGTGACCGCCACATCCCCTGCGCGCAATTCTGTGCGTTCTCTGTCACTCGCCTCTCCGCCTTGCGCGCAGCCCGCCTGTCCGCCAGTCGCGCGTCCTCGTGCGCAAGCGGGCACGGCGCAGGCGGATGCTGGGCGGGCGGATTCGGCGACAGGCGCAGCGCCAGGCGCAGTGGGCGCTGCATCAGGCGACGGTGACAGAGGCGCGAGAGAAGCGGCGTCGGCGCGGAGCGGAAAGGCCGCGGCGCGGGGAGGAAGGACGGCCTTGGAGTCGAGCGTGGATTCGAGCAGTGACGGCTTCCACTCGCTGGGGCTGCCCGCGAGTCTGGCGGAGCGCGTGGCGTCGCTGGGGCTGCTCGAGCCCACCGACATCCAACGACGCGCCGTGCCCGCCCTCATGCAAGGTGCGCAGTGACTTTCGAGTCAACTTAAAAGTTGCCCTGGAGCTTAAACCCCGAACCTTAAACCTTGAAACTGATGCTCGCCCTCGCACAGTGGCTGTGAACCAGTGGCCGTGCTTCTACTTCCTTCTCCCCCGCCCTCCCCCCCTCCCCTCCCTTTTCCTCCCTGTCACCCATCCTTTTCCCTCACTCGCTTGTCCCCTATCCCCTTCCTGAACCCCTATGCCCGACCCTTGTCTTCCCTCCTCGCTCGCCCTTTCCCTTGTGCATCTCCCCATTCATCCCCGCAACATGCTCCATTCTTCCCCCTCGCACTGCAATCAGCTCGTCCCTCCCACCCATGCCTCCTGCTCCCCGCCCCAAAGTCCCTTCTTCTCTCTCCTCTTCTTCCCTCCCTTTCCCCCCCTCCCCCCATCCGCACCCCCCCCTTTCCGCCATTCCCGTCCCCTATTCCTGACAGCCCCATTGATGCCTGCTGCGCCCTGTTTCCCTGCCTCCTTCTCTCCCATCTTCCCTCCCTTCCCACTGCGCCCCACCTCCCCCCGTTCTTGCCATTTCCCTCCACACCCGTCCCCCCGTTCGCCTCCTCCCGGCCCCTCTGACCAGGCACGGATGCGGTGCTGCAGTCATTCACGGGGTCGGGCAAGACGCTGGCCTATCTGCTGCCCATCCTCGCCTCTGTGGGCCCGCTCAGCCGCCCCAGCGCGCATGCAGACACCACTGGACTGGGAGGTGGCGACGCAGGGGAGGGAGCGGGGGACAGCAAGGGCAAGAGGGGCAAGAAGGGGCGCGCAGGGGGGGGCGGAGGCGGAGGGGGAGGGGGAGGGGGAGTGGAGGCGGTGGTGGTGGCGCCGTCTCGGGAGCTGGCGATGCAGATCGTGAGAGAGGCGGAACGCGTGCTGGGGGAGGAGCACAAGGTGAGTGGGGGGGGCACAAGGTGAGTGGGGAGGAGCACAAGGTGAGTGGGGAGGAGCACAAGGTGAGTAGGGAGGAGCACAAGGTGAGTGGGGGGGGCACAAGGTGAGTGGGAGGAGCACAAGGTGAGTGGGGGGGGCACAAGGTGAGTGGGGAGGAGCACAAGGTGAGTGGGGAGGAGCACAAGGTGGGTGGGGAGGAGCACAAGGTGGGTGGTGGCTTTTCCCATCGGCGGGGCAAACCCTCCTCCTCACGCTTTTCCCCCTCACCGCCATCATCTCTCGTCCCCTCGCCCCTCGTCCCACTAACAGCGCTGTGTGCAGCAGCTGATCGGCGGCGCGAACCCCCACCGGCAGGAGGAGGCGTTGAAGAAGTACCGGCCGGCCATCGTGGTGGGCACGCCGGGGCGCATCGCAGAGAGCAGCCGTGCGGGGCGCCTGGCGACCCACTCGTGCCGCTGGCTCGTGCTGGACGAGGCTGACATGCTGCTCTCGCACCGCTTCCGGCTCGACATGCTGCGTATTCTCGACCATGTGGGAAGGCGAAAGTGAGTTTGTGGGGAGTTGTGTGCAGTGTGAGTGGGTGGGCCACTGCAAGCGAGGTGGCTGGTGCTGGACGAGGCTGACATGCTGCTCTCGCACCGCTTTAGGCTCGACATGCTTCGTATTCTCGGCCACGTGGGACGCCGCAAGTGAGTGGGACGCCGCAAGTGAGTGGGACGCCGCAAGTGAGTGGGACGCCGCAAGTGAGTGGGACGCCGCAAGTGAGTGGGACGCCGCAAGTGAGTGGGACGCCGCAAGTGAGTGGGACGCCGCAAGTGAGTGGGACGCCGCAAGTGAGTGGGACGCCGCAAGTGAGTGGGACGCCGCAAGTGACATGCCCCTTTAGCACATCATCTATCCATGTGCTCTCTCCTCCTCTCATTCCATGTCCACCTCCCCTGCTTCTCACGCCGCCCTGTCTCCAAATCTCTTCACCATCCTACACCCACCTCCACTGCCAGCAGCACCAGTGTGCCCTGCAGTGCGCACCCTTAATCAAGAGGCAGCAGGGCGGAGAGGCAGCAGGTGATGGTATTGGCCACCGTGCCACGCCCGTGCTGGAGGCGGCATGCAAGTGATTAGGTTGAGTGGCAGCAGATTACAAACATGCGTCTCATTCTTCGCCCATTGCATCTCCTCCTTCCTCGCCGTTTACCAGATCCCTTCACCAGCCTGCACCTACCACCAGTAGTACAAGCGCATCAGCAGCAGGCAGCAGGGCGGAGAGGCAGCTGGTGATGGTGTCGGCCACGGTGCCACGGCCTGTGCTGGAGGCCGCCTGCAAGTGGGGCTCGCACCCGCTGCTCGTCCAGCAGCACGCCATGCAGCCCATCGACGCCCGCTCTGCTGCTGCTACTGCTGCTGCTGCTGTTGCTGCCAGCGTGGCAGGCAGCACCTCATCTGCCAGAGACTTGCTTCCTGTTCCTGCTGCTGCAGCATCAGACGTGCACGGGGCGCTTGTGATTCCGCCTCCAGTGCAGGCAGGAGGGTTGGCGGGAGGGGTGCTGGCGTCAGTGGGGAGAGGCAGTGAGGAGGCGCCACTGGTGGCGCTGAGGGACAGCCTGCCGCCCAACCTCGAGCACTGGTGAGCTTTGCAGAGCACTGGTGAGCTTTGCAGAGCACTGGTGAGCTTTGCAGAGCACTGGTGAGCTTTGCAGAGCACTGGTGAGCTTTGCAGAGCACTGGATCCTTCCCCTACGTACTTCAACCCTTTCCACCTCCCCACCATCTTATGCTGCACCCATATGCCTCCATCCCCTCCTCCCCCCCACCAGCTACATAGTGGTAAACAGGCGCCATCACGTGGACATCGTGCGGCGCTGTGTGCACGCATTGGAAGCGCGGTCAGCCATGGTGTTCATGAACTTTGGGCGCCGCCTGGTGGACGTGCAGCACAAGCTGGAGGCCAGAGGGCTGTCAGCTGCTGCGCTGCATGGCACCATCTCCAAGCTCGCCCGCACCAACATCATGTCCTCCTTCAGGTGGGTCTGCCTTCAGGTGCCGCCCGCCTTCAGGTGCTGCCGCCTTCAGGTGCTGCCGCCTTCAGGTGCCGCCCTCCTTCAGGTGCCGCCCTCCTTCAGGTGCCGCCCTCCTTCAGGTGCCGCCCTCCTTCAGGTGCCGCCCTCCTTCAGGTGCCGCCCTCCTTCAGGTGCCGCCCTCCTTCAGCTGCAATGCTGTGCCGTGCAGAGCTGTGCCGTGCAGAGCTGGACCAAAACCTGGCCTTCTATCAACGCATTCACCTTCCACGCTCTCGCTTTCGTCCTTCCTCTTGCCTTCTGCCTGGCCTCACATGTTCACTTCACTTGACGGAATGATTGCAGCTCCTTTGTCAATTGCGGCCCACTATACCTCTCCTTCTACACCTGATTCTCAACCTTGAGCTGTCCGAATTGTAGCCTCTCCTGCACTCATTCTCCCCTATCAAATGCCCTTAACTCGCTACTGAGTGCGAGTGCTGTTGGCCATAATGGTGGGTGCATGCGGGCTGGACGTGGTTGATTGCAACCTCGTAGTCAGCCTTGTCCATGTCGCCTCTCCTGCACTCATTCGCCCCTCGCTTTTCCCCTCCCCTCGCCCCTCTCTTTTCCCCTCCCTTCGCCCCTCGCTTTTCCCCTCCCCTCGCCCCTCTCTTTCCCCCTCCCTTCGCCCCTACCAAATGCTTTCAACTCTCGACTCCCGATGTCAGGGACGGCGGGGTGCGAGTGCTGCTGGCAACAGAGGTGGGTGCGCGTGGGCTGGATGTGGTCGACTGCGACCTCGTGGTCAACCTTGAGCTGCCCGCCTCGCCCGCCCACTACGCTCACCGTGCCGGCCGCACGGGGCGGCTGGGGCGGCGGGGCGTGGTGGTGTCGGTGTGTGAGGAGCGTGAGGAGTTTGTGGTGCTGCGCGTGGCGCGCGAGCTGGGTGTGAAGATGGCGCGCATGGAGGTTGTTGAGGGCAGCCTCGTGCCGTATGAGGGGCGCATGAAGTACTGAGTGACTGTGAGGGGCAGCTCTGCCAGACCCAATTTTAATAGAGTTGGGCTGAGAGAATGCCCTTGGAATCTTTTAGAGATTAGACTTGAGAATTGTTTCACAGCGGAAGTTCTGAATGCCTGAGCTGGTGAACGAGAAGAATTAACTTGTAAGTAAAAATATACAAGAGATTTGTAGGTTTAGAAAATACCTCTATGCTGTACCAATCCGCTCAACCGAGCTTATACTGAGTCATCACTCTAAACCATACCGTATTTACCCAGGTAATAGACCCGGGGGTCTAATCCTACCCCGGAAAAAAAAGGGGGGTGGGGCCATTAGCTGGGTGTAAATGCAATAGACCCGGGGTCTAATCCTATATGCATTTTTTTTCAAACACCCTAGTGTTACAGCATCAAAAGTCATCACCTTCTATGGAGTCAGCGAAATTTTGACCATGCGTCTGACGCGGTCTGACGCGGGTCTGACGCGCGACTGACGCGCGACTGACGCATGGTCAATATGCTCCAATCAACACATTTTTGCACAACTCGACCAGTTCCTCGCTACAGTTTGACCCGAACTTGGTTAGGGGGGTCTAATATGGGATACATTTATCAAAGGGGGGTTTATTACGAAAGTGCATATAGCATAAGACCCCCTCCCATTTAACGACCCGGGGGTCTATAATTTTGGGGGGTCCATTACCCGGGTAATTACGGTACTTCTACTAAAAAACATTGCGCTCCTTCACGAGTTCATGGAGATAGCTAAGATAGCTAAAGGGTCGGGGGTGACGACTATTGAGGATGATTCATTGCCTCTGGGAAAGAGGATGGATGTGGCGGTTCGGAGACTGAGAGAGGGGGAAGCGCATGCGCTTGAGGCCAGCGTTGTTGACCTCAACTCTTTGCCTGCGCAGCAGCACGGGCACATTGGCCGCAAGGTGGGTTTAGCCGATAGGGAGAGGGAGGAGCAGAAGGCGGCGGATTACAAACCTCTGCTGCAGCAGCACCGAGAAGTGTTGTTCACCCCCCTCATCGCGGAGACCTGGGGTTGCCTAGGAGGAGATTTGGGTCGTGACCTGTATGAACGCTACCAGTGGGGGCCATACGTCAGGTCTTTTCACGCTGCGCACAACGTCTACCCAGGTTCCTACGTCTGGTCAGGTCGTGTTGATCCCTTACTCACCCGACGCTCATGTAGCGCCATCGTCTAGGTCGCACTGCCCTCCCACGTATCTGTCACATGGCTCGGCACGGTCTTGTCTTTGGTCTCCCGTCGTCGCTCCTCGTTCTCCCTCCCTCGGCAGCATCGCTTGGGTCAAGGGCAAGCAGTGCACTACCCCTCACTCTTCCTCACTTACTCCCACCACTGTCCCTCTTTAGACCCTGCACATGGACATCCAGGGTCTTGCCCCTATCCCAAGGCAGCGCCGGGAACACTACTTCCTGGTCGATGAGGACGACTTTTCCTGCTATACCAAGGTGTTTCCCTTGCAGTGGAAGGATGACGTGCTTGACGCTCTCATCCCGTTGCTCATATCCGTCCGTGCCTAGCGCGCCGAGCGTGTCCGTCGTCTGCACTCCGACCGTGGTGGCAAGTTTGCCTCCGGTCATCTGAGTTGCTCTTGTCAGGCAGAGGGCATCACACATACCTATACGCTACCAAACTCACCACAACATAATGGGGTAGCTGAGCGTCGCATCGGCTTGATCATAGAGATCGTTCGTACCTCCATGGTTCATGCTAGTGCCCTCAAGTTTTTGTGGCTGTTTGCAGTCCGCGACGCCATGCGCCAGCTTAACATATGGCCCCGTGTCTCATGGCACAAGGTTCGCCGACCCTCCCCCTCGGTGTTGTGTCTGCATTTCATGTTTGGGGATGCCTTGGTTACGTCCGCAATCTCTCATGTGGCTTCCTTGGTTTCTCTCTTGTCGCTCCTGACTAGTTCTATCACGTCTCCTCTCACCATTTCTTTTACTCTTGTGACGTCACCTTTGTCGAGTGTGTCTATTTCTACACTCGCTTCCCACACCGAGGTACCCTAGTTCCCCCCCCTCCCCTGTTTCTCTCTCCCACTCATCCCCCTGGTCCCGCACCGCCGCCTTCTCCTCTACCACCGCGTCTTGCGTGCGGAGAGTCACTCTATACCGGGAGCTGGACCACGGGGAAAGCACAACTGGTACGAGTGATCGTAGCGTTTGCTCGCGTTCTCTCTACTTGCACATTCACGATGAAAGTTGGCAAGAGTTTCATTAAGAATAGTTGAGAACAGTGATACAATGGAGTGGCAAAGATTGAAGGCACCTAGCAAGCCTAGCAACCAGGCGAGTCGACCGCCAGCGGTTGGGTTTGTGGTCCGCACACCTCTGCAGGACTTAGCCGCCATGGTTACTCAGTAGGCCGGGCAACGTCCCCGGCCCCGTAGGTCGGCGCCCACAAGTGGGCGCCCTCTGGTCGATGACCTCCTTCGTCGACCACCCGTTTGAAGTCGGCCGCCGGCTTCCCGTCGTCAGCGGCGTTGCAATGGTCCCTTGCAGGTCGACCAACTTCGTCGACCTGCTCGTCCACGTCCGCGTTGACCACTGCAGATGGTCGGTTGCACATCCCGCGCACCCGACCAAGAAGTCGGCTTCGGCCAAGCGAGGGCGGGGCCAACTCCCGTCAACACGCCCCATATGGTGTGTCGGCCCTCCCCTCGGTTGGGTTTGTGGGGGAGATTGATGCCTCTCGCAGCCCGGTCTGTGGGGATGAGCCTCCTGTGTCCCCCTATTCACGTCCCTGTTGTCACCCGCGTCATCCTCGTAGTCGCCGCAGCTGGACACAGTGGGCACTAGGAGTGCTGACTCTGAGGGTGCTCCTTTTGGGGTTACTACCGTGGGGGGTGCTGGCTCCTAAGATCCTACTACCTGAGGTACTCTTTCTGGGCTGCTGTAAGCATGGGATATTCTCAGCAGTAGTTGCAGCCATTGTAGCAGCACCAGCCGCAGCAGTAGCAGCCGCAGCAGCCGCTGCAGACATCGTAGCCGCCTATGACTACGTCGTCTTCTTGGACTTCCTTCCCTTTTGATTGGCAGCATGCCTCTCTCCTCCTCACCGCCTCTCTCACTCCACATTTCCTCCCCCGAATCGTCCCCATCTCGTTTCCCTCCTAGTTCACATCTGTCTCCTCTCCTTCTTGACCCGTCTCTTGCCTCTTCCCCCCAATCTCGGCATCCATCTTGCGCTCGCCCCTCTCTCCCATTCCTGGGCTTCACCCTATAGCCTCCGTTCTCGTCCCCTTCGTGTGCCGCCAACTCCTGTACTCCCGTTGCCTCCTCCATCTTGATTTTTAGTCTCATATCTCCCATCGCCGTTTCCCCCTTTCTGTCCCTCGTCTGCGTCACCGTGCAATCCTTGTGTCGAGGGCATGCAATGAGCCACCCCCCACTCCTCGCTTACTCCCGCCACTGCGCTTCTTCAGACCCTGCATTTGGACGTCTGGGGTCCTGCCCCTGTCCTTGACCACGCCGGGAGGACTACTTCCTGGTTCTCTATACCACAACGTTTCCCTTGCAACGGAAGGCCAACTTGCTTGATGCTCTCATCTTGTGGCTCGTAGCCGTTCGCGCCCAATGTGTGCTTGGTCTGCATTCTAACCGTGATGACGAATCCGCCTCCGATTGTCTGAGTTACTTTTGTCAGTCGAATGGCATCACCCAGACATATACGCTACCTGACTTACCACATCATAATGAGGTAGCTAAGCGTCGCATCGGCTTGATCATGGAGATCGCTCGTACCTCCATCGTTCATGCTAGTGCTTCCATTTTCTGTGGCCGTTTACAGTCTGCTACGCAACGCACCTGTCAACGTGAGTAGTGTCTGGCCCCGTCCTCGCTTGGGCGGAGCCGGCCGCGGGGACCGCGGGACCGCGGGAGGGCCGCGGGAGGACCGCGGGGACCGCGGGACCGCGGGAGGACCGCAGGAGGCTGCGGGAGACCGCGGGGCTGCGGGAGGCCGCGGGAGGCCGCGGGAGACCGCGGGGCCGTGGGAGGCCGCGGGAAACCACGGGACCACGGGACTGCGGGGATTGCGGTGGCCACGGATGGACGGCCGGGGGTCACGGGGGCCGCGAGATACCCGGTCGACCAAAATACCCGGGCGACGTGTGCGAAAGTCGCCAGGGGTGATTTCTGCGAGGACGACCTCGGGGGTGGTATCCCGAGGTCGACGTGGCTGGTGGGCACCGTCACCGGTGGAGTGTCTGCGCTGGGCGTGTGACGGGGCGTTGGGCGCCAACCACCTGCACGCACCTGCGAAGCTGGTGCACCGTTGTCAGGCGGGTGCAACACTGCGCAGCCGACTTGCTGTAGAGTTGGCACACAACGGAGTTGCAATATTGGCAAGCCGCGACTCTGCTCTGCTGGATCGCGGTCGGCCAAGTCGTGCTGGCACGCGGTCGACCGTGCTGCGCTGGCAGTCGACCAGCAGCCTTGCTATGTCTGATGTAGTCTGTGTTGCCAATGTTGATGCAATCATTCTGAACTTTTGTTGTCATGTTTTCCTAGTGAAACTCTTGCCAATTTTCCCCGTGAAATAGCAAGTAGTGTGAGCACTTGGAAACGACTAAGGAACAAACGAACGCTACGATCACACTTGCCCCGTGCCTAGCCCGCAATCTAGCTCCCGTTACATTAGTTATCTCCGCATGGTGCGGTGAGCGTGGACGACAACGCGAAGACACCTTCGGTCTAGCTGACTTTTCACTCACCTAGCTAGTTCGTAGACCGGCGGCTGTGCTGGACGCCATGGTTGATCCCGTAGTAGAGGCGGGCGTCGTGGACACCCTGGAGGCATGGCTGGAGGACGCGAGGAGACGTCATGCGGCGAACGAGTATGGAACTCTCCCGCTGACGGTCGTCGAGGCTGGCATCCGCGCCGTGTGGGCGACGGAGCACCCTTCTCGACCGGCGCCTCCTCGACAGGTGAACAACGCGGGCGGCGTCGACGCGGACGTCAACGCGGGTGGTGGCCAA